CTCATGCTCTACTCCTGAGTAATTCTCATGGCTCTATCCTGGGGAACAGCTTCCCATACCATCACACTGTATTGCTTGATTGGAGTCCCTTAAATTTCAGGTCTAATAGAAGTTGCTCTGCTGATGGAAGCCACCTTTGCCCCTCCGACAAGGCACAAGCACCATCCCAAGCTCTAAACCTCTCCATGATGTAGGAATTGTTATTTATTTTATTTTATTTTTTTTTTGGTCTTTTTTTTTGAGACAGGGTCTCCCTGTAGCCCCAGCTGGCCTGGAACTGCTATGTAGACCAGGCTGGCCTTGAGCTCACAGAGATCCACCTGCCTCTGCCTCCGAGTGCTGGGATTAAAGGCATGCGCCACCACGCCCGGCCCTTTTTTTTTTATTTTTAAAAAGAAGATATTTAATCAAGTGAATGAGGATAAAGCTTTTAGATGTATTCTAAAGTGTTTATAAAACACTTCATTGACTCTTGAAATTATTTCCAAAATGGTGACTAACATCTAGTTATTAATTTTTTAAGCACAAATCATACATTTTGTACCTCAATGAACTTATTTTAACTATGACTTTTAATTGAAATATAAGATGTTTTAGAAACATTTTAATTTGAAAACACCAAAGGAAGCTTCTCTAGAATCTACTGTGGTTAGCTACTAATGGCAGTGCTTTATTGAAAGTTTATCGCTAATTCTTATTTCCTCGTAAAATTTAAAGTTAGTTCTGCTGTGAAATAGTGTCACACTTATGTTTCTCCCCCAGGAAGTACAATAAATCATCTTTGCTATGAAGAATTGATGTTTTGTTCCTTAGTTTACTGCTTAAAAAATTAAAAGAACAAACTTTCCCTGCATGATTTTCAGAAAATATATACAGACTGAGAAATCTAAACTCTGATATTTGTCCCATTAAAAAGCTTTCAGATTTTGAAACTTTTTGGATTAGGTATGCTCAACTATCATTATGGATCAATCAGTAAGTTTATGTGGATGACTAAAAAGAAATCCAAAATCTGAAGCCCTTGTTATTTATTACAAGGATTTCTGATAAGAGATCCTCAAGAAGACTTAGATGCAAACAGGAAGTCCTCAAAGAATGGCTGATGTGTACTTAGCTATAAAAGGGTTTAGGAGACTGGACACAGGAAACTACAAGTTTGAGAAAGAACAGAAGTCCATCTCACATAGAAGACTGCATCGTCGGCCCTTTGGAGAGGCAATAGGGCTTTTAAGTGACACTGCTTCCTGCTGCTCAGTTTGTTCAAGTTTCTTTTGTGCTCAAACACAAAATGCCATCCGTAGAAGAATGCTCTCTAAACCAGCTAGTTTAGTTAGTTTCATTAGTTGGTCATAGCTTTCAGGCAGATTTTCTAAAACTGACATGGGCTAATTCACTTGGTTTATTGGAATAATCTTGTCTATTGAATGTTTATCACATTCCCACTATGTGTTCCCCAGTGGTGGAAGGTAGTGGAGTTAGAGATAAATAGGACTGTCTTTGAAGAACTTACAAATGGTAGGTGGGGGTGGAGACATGGCTCAGCAGTTGAGGAAATTTGCTGCTCTTCCAGAGGACCTGGGTTTGGTTCCTAGCACCCATGCCAGACAGCTCACAACTGTCTGTAACTCCAACTCCAGGAGATCTGATGCCATCTTCTGGCCTCTGCAGGTACCCGCACACGTGGCATACAGACATACACATACACGTAAGAGATAAATGGTAGGTAAGTAGGAATTTTGTCATTATGGATCAACTAATGTATTGAAACACATGCAAAGGATGGGCACAGACCATGGAGTAGTGTCCTGACTTGGATGTAGGAGAGCAGTGGGTTTGTGAAAGTGTCAGAGTGGAGAGGATATCTGGAGTATCCTGAGTTCAATGTGGGCTGTTCTCTATGCCAAGGGAACATCTAGACAGTATCCTGAGGTCAATATGAGCTGTTCTCTATGCCAAGGAGAAGAAGGTATCCTGAGGCTCAAGGGTGGAACTGGATCCAGTGGATTCCTAAACAGATCAGTGTGGTAGGAGGCAGTCTTGAGAAGGTGTGGTATTGGAACACTCGGAAGCGAAGCTGGCGAGGTAGGCTATGGTTCAGCTGCCAAGCTGCCACATGCAGTGGTTCAGGACTGTCTTGAGTGCAGGTATCAAAAACAGTCTAAACCAGGGCAGAGATGCACTTGCCTAACATGCCTAAGCCCTAGGTTCAATTCCAGCAGCACACAAACCAGGCATAGTGGTGCACAAATACCACCTTAGCACTCTGGAAGCGGAGGCAGGAGGATCAAGAGTTCAGGGTCATCCTCGGCTATATAATGCATTGGAGACCAGCCTAGACTACATGAAATCCTATCCAAAAAAGAAGAGGAGGAAGAGGAAGGAGGAGAAGAGGAGGAGGAAGAAGGAGAAGAAGAAAGAAAAAGCCATGTGCTGGATAGCCTTAGTGTCAACTTGACATACCTGGGTTGAGGGAGCCTCAATTGGGGAATTGCCTCTATTGGACTGGCCTGTGGCCATGTCTGAGGGGCATCTTCTTGATGAGTGATGTGGGAGGGCCCAGCCCACTGTGGGTGGTACCACTCCTGGGCAGGTGGGCCTGTGTTGCATAAGAAAGCAGGCTGAGCAGGGGCCAGGGGAGTAAGTCAGTGAGTAGCATTCCTCCATGGCCTGTGCTCCAGCTCCTGCCTCCCAGTTCCTGCCCCGAGTTCCTACCTTGGGCTCCTGAATGAACTGTCACCCAGGATATGTAAGCCAAATAAACCCTTTCCTCCCCAAGTTGGTAGTGGTCAGAGTATTTTGTAACAACAATAGAGAACAAACTAGGACAAGCCCTAGGGAAGAGTTTGTTTCAGGGAATCTGACTTGTGTCCTTGGACTTGAGGAGAGTTGGGGTTGAGCACTTGAGATTTTCTGGTTTGGGGCTCCACCTTTGTTTTCCCTCTTTTTTTTGAGAAAGGGTCTCCCCGCAGTCCCAGCTGGCTTGGGACTCATTATGTACACCAGGATGGCCTCGATCTCACAGACACCTGCCTGCTTCTGCCTCCCAAGTGCTGGGATTAAAGGCATGTGCCAAGTTTAATAGGCAATTTCTGTAATTTAGGAGAGAAGAAATTTTGGGGAGAGGGAGTAAAACAGTAGCTGTAATAGCCTCACAAAAACACCTGAGCTTTATTGTATCCCCTTAGGCAAGAATTGAGAACATTGAACAAGGTAGTGACACTCTCACATTAAGCAAGATAGTGACTGTAACCCAACTCCAGGAGATCTAATGCCATCACATTTATTCTGGGAATCCTGTGATAATGAAGGATCTGTGGAGATGAAGTCATGGTGACAGCTTACTGTAATAGCCTCTTTGTGACACTGGGAGAATACTGATAGGCTGGCTATTCAGAGTTTAAATCCTAAGTAGGGACTTAGCTTGGAGGTAAAGCTCTTCCTGGCATGCACAAGGCTGTGGCTTCAATCCCCAGGAAAAAAATTCCCAGGAGTTAAAGATTGATTAAATGTAAACAAGGCAAAAGTCAGGAATTTTAATTCCATGGGCCAGTTTATTCTTGTGCTACTGCCTGCACTCACATCTGTGACCGCATGTTTTTAAAATGTCTGCCTTTGATTCTCTGTTTGATCAATATATTGCTTTAATTTGTCTTTACCAAAAGTTTGCTTCCTGTGATTTGTCATTGTCATATTTTTCAAAATATTTGAGTCAAATGAAACTTATGATTTAAAATTTTATATCCAAATGCTTTTAGATATTTTTCTTATTTAAGTAATTTAATTATAGAAGAGTGTACATTTTTCTCGGTGTTTCCAGACATGTGTGTCTCTGTGTGTGTATGTGTGTGTGTGTGTGTGTGTGTGTAGGAGTAAGGCTGTGTGGTTCAGTCCTTTTGCTTCAGTTTCACTGTAAACCCAGACCTGTTCTGAAAAATCAAGTCTTTAGCTTTCCTCATGGCATCACTACTGGGCATTCTTGGAATTCTCTTGAGCCTCAATATGTGTCTCTGTGTCCTTATTTCCTCAGTTATATTGGATTGTGGCTCACACTAA